AAGCAATGAGGCAGATCATCTTGATTATTTTCGGTCTTCTTATCAGTAGGAATTAAAGCAACTTACTAGTTTGTTTTTGATGCTTGTACGAATGTAAGATAGACGCAGTGAGACGAGGATTGGGTTGATAAGAGACTGGAGATGAAGTAATGTCAGACAGATAGGAATGGCGATGTATCTTAAATYTCTCATGACATCTTCACCTKCGACGGCTTGTATCACTGCGACTATAATGAAAGGAACGTAAAAGAGAATCGACACGATAACTAGTATGTTCATCATGAACACTCGCTTGTATTCTTTGAGTCGTTCTTGTTGTCGTTGCTGTTCGTCGGGCTGCTGAGCTGATTCTTGCTGTAGGGCGATGGTTCTACGCTGGCGGTAAGCTGTCACTTGTACTTTGATTGAACAGTACAAAATAACTAGAGTGCTAAGAMMTAGAAATACCATGGGTGGAGCTAATCTTAGTTTGCTCTTGTTATTTATTCCAATAACTATGGCACACATCAAAATTCCTAGAACTACTGCCCAATAAATCATTGTTCCTAATAAGACTTTTTTTGCTGTAACCATCTTACGGTAAAAATTGGGATGTTCGATAGCAAGGTATCTTTCCRAGCTCAGTATTGATAACGTGGCAACTGACAGACCACCGAAGGTCAAGACTGACATAATATAAAGCGTATAGGTACAAGACGAATAACAATTGTTTACAAGACAACTCTGTTGATAAGAAAAGATGGGTTGAACCAACAAACCCACTAGAAAATCAGTCACTGCTAAGGCTACCAGTAAAATATTAAAAGAAGAGGATCTAAGATCTTCATCTCCAAGAACTGACCAAGAAATCAGCGCATTTATAACGACTGTTAGAGGAGACGCTACACCATTGACAACAGAAAGGACGGTTCTAATCGTGTTGAGTGAATCTGGAAGATTTGTCGTGTTGAATGGATCAAAATCCGGTTGTGACAAGAAGCAAAGAGCAGGACTACTACTTACAGGTACAGCACTCATGTTTGAGAAGTTATTTGACATGACGGGTAACAACTAGCGTTGAAAATCACTTAAATTATAGACTTAGGTGCACTTGATTCGTTTTCCCTTGAACTGGACTGTTTGAGATTGTGTTCTAAACAAGGCAGAGCAATGAATTATATATAAAAGCGTGTCCGGTCAAATTTTGACTCATTTGTTTGACAAAAGTTGTTCATTAATAGTACTTTTTGCGTGAATTATAGGGATTGTAATGGACGATTCAATTTGTACTCCTTTCTGTTCACAGAGCTTATTTTAATCGGTTTATTCCTATGATTAGTTTCCAATTCACTAGGTTTTCTTTGTTATTCATAGGGTTGTATATACMWTAGAAACKTAAAGCMGGGGAGGGATTTGATATTCAGCAGGGAAATGTGGGGTTGATGAATTGAATTGAATAGCTCGTTATAAATTCAGCGGGCTATATATGAGTGACCGGAATCACTCACATATAGCCCGCTGAATTTATAACGAGTTATTCAATTCAATTCATCAACCCCACATTTCCCTGCTGAACATCAAATAAACTATAAGTAAACTAAACTATTTTTCCCCTAAAAAAGACTAGTGCGGCCAGCAAAACTTGAGGAGATTTAGAGTGCTAAAAACAAAGCTACGAAGTCAAGTGTAAACAATGGACTTTCGGATGACAATTCCTTCTTTATAATGGCCGAAACGGAACAACAAAAAGGTATTTCTGAGAAATGTATGCTTTAGTAAAACTAGAATACTTTTTTTTAAACCTATGTTGTTGTTTATTAGGAAAAAATCATCGTAATTGTGCTGTA